TCTGTGTAGGAGGGGATTCTGCTCCCGGCACCTCTCTTATTATTCAGGGTTAAGCGTGTCGTCACCGGGGGCCGGGGGCCGGGGGGGGGATGCTGTTTTCTTGCCGTTCAGCAGAGTGACAGATCTATTCCCCTATCTGACTTTCTTGCTTTCAGGGTAATGGTCTCTTTGTTTTAGCAGGCGAGCACTTTAGCTGAGTGGGGTGTGGCTCAGCGGTCTGCATGTCTGCACCCGTGTCGGGAAGGTCGTGGGTTCGATCCTGTGGCTGGCTGGCTGAGTGATTGTGCTGCTATTTTGGGGAAGGTAGGGATACGTGCCCTTGTGCAGAAGGTCATGGGTTTGAACCCCTTGCCCGGCAGAGTGATCGCATCGCCATTAGCCTTTGGCCCCCGCTGGCTGACCCCCCGCTCTCTGATCCTTACTCGGACGCCACTTTGGACTTAAGTGTCCGATAAATAAACATGAATGATATGATAGCATCTAAACATGAGCGTGAAGTACAAACCGAAGCCTGCACTGTCGTGCGCAAACAGATGATAGCATCACACATTGACTGATCAGTTATGGTCGTCTAGAATGTGTGCATGCAGGCATGTACACAGAGTGAGTATGAGGGGTGCAGGGCCAGTGAAATCATCTCTTTGGCCTGCAGTTGGGGTGGGTCCCCATTGAGGGAACATCTCAACGCTTCTGCAGGCTGAGAACATGCAGGAATGCAGGCCTGAACGTGCAGTTCAGGGGTCGCAGTGGGGGTGTGTGTGTTGGGGGATTCAGTGGAAATCGCCCACAAGGATCTGAGCTTTAAGGGGCAGAGTGACTTCAGTGAAGGTGGGACAGAAATGTTATCATTAAATTTTTTTTTGTTACCCTGTAACTGGAGAACATCAATCAAACATGCTGTGTCTCTGCCTTCGGTGTTTTGCGTCACCGGCCAGGGTGGTGTTGAGTAACTGCGCTCTCTGTGGGTGTCACTGAGAGTGACCTCACTTCCTGTCATAAACCCCGCCGGTCACACTGGCCCGCTGGCACGTCCATTGTGGCCAGGGGGCATTTGAGGGGGCTGAGTCGTTAATCGCGTAGTAACTGTTTTTCCTTCCGTGTTTGTGTGCAGATGAACATGGAGTTCAAAAGATTTTATCATGCGCACCTTGACAACGGTTGCCAAGGTGGCATGCATAGTGGTGGTTGGCTGTTGATAGGGGCTGGGGTTCTGTCCAATCCTGCCTGCCCAGGGCTTAAGTGGGCGTGAGGAGTGAGGAGAACACAGACAGCCGGCAGTGTCCCGCTGTGGTGGGTAAGGAAGACAGTTTGCTCCCCTTTAGAGGCAGTGGGGGGGGGCTCATCATAGCGAATGTCTGATTATTCTGGCTGGCTGTTCATCCCAAGCAGTCAGGCACAGGGGGTTTTTGGGAAGATCTGGAGCGTGGTGCTGATCAGGGTGTTCACATTTGCCTTCTGTGAATTGTGGGTGTGTGCTTAATGTCTCAGGGCTTTAGTGGGGGGGTGGGATGGCGGGGGCTGGGTGTCTGATGATGCGTAAAGGTGAAAGAGAGAGAGCAAGAGAGACAGTGACACACAGATGGTCAGGTGACATTACAGAATGGGCGTGCATCTGCCACGTGGGTCCGAGCGCGGGTCAGGAGACAGGAGGCGGCGCGGCGAGCCCCCAGGCATGGCGGTGGAGAGCGGGGCACGGCCAGAACCTTACGCCCGCCATGCCTTAATGCCAGGGCAGTGTCACTGAGCAGTTAAGCTGTCCTACTTAGGTGTGAAGATAGAGGGAGGGGCCAAGGCCCCCCACCCCCACCCCACAGGACAGAAGTGTCTCAGTGGGAGGTGTCTGTCAACAGAGCCGAGAAACGGCGGGGGGGCGGCTGCCGAGAATCACAGAGGAAGCAGGACAGGGACACATTGGGGAGGGGGGAGGGGGCTTTCAGGAGGTGCAGGCACAGGGCCGAATGCTCTTTGTTTTTCAGACGACGGTAAATGGCAGAGCCAGTACCCCAGGAGCGTTCTCGCTCGAGCACCCCCTCCCCCCCGCCCCCCGCGCCTCTCGTTTGCGCAGACATCGGGAGAGACAGATGGCGCGCGGCCGGTCTGGGTCGGCAGGGCCGCCCCGCAAACACCCTCCACCTCAGCTGCTGCCTGGAGTCGCCCACAGGGTCCCGTGCCCCGCCCCCATGCCCATATATGGAGGCGCAGCGGCTGCCGGCCCACCTCGTCCGCACGCCGTTCACGCGGGAGGCTTCCTGGTCGCTCTGTTGGCATCATCTGCAGGGTTATCACCTCTCTGCCCCCCCCACCGCAGCGAGACCGTCTGCTAACGAGTGCTGGGCCAGGCCGGCAGGTGGACGAGTGTTCAGGCGGTAATTAAGCCTCTCCTCACCCCCACCTCGACCCCCCCGCCCCCTAATGACATAAAACGCCATCACCCCCCACTGGCCGTTCACATCTGTGCAGAAATCTGCACTCGGCCGCTAATGTCTTGTCGGGCGCCGAGGGCAGGGCTGCGGGGCAGTGGTTTGGTGAGACTCTCTCCCACAAACACACACCTTGCCACTCATCACTGCAGACAGATGCACAGTGGCTAATAGCAATCCTCTGTATGCATCCAGGCAGATGGTGGATCAGCACCAATTACACCCCGATTGGGGGGCCAGTGCTCTGGCTGTTTAGAAAACGGCGGGCTCCGTCTCTGGGTTTCTGGAAGGCTCCGGAGCCGGGCGAGAACGCGGCGGCCTCGTCCTCGCCCACGCTCCGCAGAGCCGCTCTGGCTCTCGCCGGATGCGTCCGCGCGATTTTCTGGATTCCGCGCGCTTTGTGTAAAACACCAGATGTCTGTTGTGGCAAGGTGAATTTGAGATCTGTCACTGTTTCTGAAATGTTGATTTCACATTTGTTCCTTGCTTTTTTTGTGTAAATAAATGCGTTTTCCTCATCTCGCTGTGGTGCATTTTACACTGTTTGTTTGCTTAGGCATTGCTGTAGCATAAACAGAACTAAAATACTGCCATGCAGTGAACTACAGATACTGTATGAATATATCTTGTCTCAGGGTGCAGCAGCATCACAGCACAACAGTCGCTGGTCGAGGCCTCTAAGTAGCACCGTCCTTGTTCTCATTTATCTTGTCATCTGCCTCTTGGCCTGTGTACAATGATGTGTGGATGTCCTTAACCGAGAGACAGATTTTGTCGCATATGAAGTAAGGACTCGTGACCTCTGACCTCCCAAGGCGGTGTCATGGAAACAGACGGCCATAGATTGACTTTACCGGAGTTAAGGGAAGGTGCGTGTAAAGGTCACGTTTACTGTGCTAACAACTGCCATCGAATGATGGCATGAAGTTTTGGCACAAACGTCCTCACGCCCTGGCTTGTGGGTCATGGTTGATAGCCGGCCTTTTTGGATCATCGCCATTGATCATCTGGTAACTTTCATAACACTAAGGACTCTGTGGATATGTAAATTTTGCCTTGTAGGAATGTCGTTTTGAGCTTGACACATGGATTTGTAGATGATAGGAGTTGCAGTACAGTAGGATCAGAACCGCTCCAGAAGTTTTCACAGCCCATAAACATCACTCTCAGGAGGTGGTGTCCAGGTGGATGTCTTGGCTGTGTAAAGACGGTCCAGTTCAGAGTATAGAGGATCGTTTAGACGAGGTGGAAGCCCAATGCAGCTGAAGGAAAAAAAAACTTTATGCAAAGGGGCTTTTCAGAGTGAGATTTAAGAGCAAAACATCTTTTTGAATGTGGAGGCAGGTGTGAGACATCTATCTGTGCCGTCTGCATGCGGCATGGGGCTGTTTCCTGGAAACAGGACTGATATTATTTCAGTTCGCCTACTGGCAAGAAAGCACTGATCCCCGGGGCTCCATGACGAGTGGGAGCGCAGTGACGGCGTCCGATCCCTGCTCCCTGGAGCCCCACTCTTCTGGCTGGCCCCCTCCTCCTGCCCCTGTGTAGCCATGGGCGATGAGGGGGACATGATGGGGGGGGGGGCAGGAGATTTAAATATCACTGAGGTGTCGGCCAATGGTATAAGCTTTTTGGTGTCCTCGGAAACAGACAAACACACACACATGCTGCTAACAAGTACAGCCACGCAGCCACGGGCCAATCAGAGAGCTTGTGTTGGTCTGCATTGCCGGCATGGCGTGTGGATAAGCATGACAGTCATTGGTCTCTGAGTGACATGAGTGATGCACGGACTCCACTCGCCGCGGTGTGCCTGTTCCCTCCGCAGCCGCTCGATCCCGGGGCCGGCGCCGTGCCGCCGTCAGCCAGGCTGCCGTTGGCCTCTGAGCGCAGCCACCCGAAGCCCCTTTTAACTTGCCTGTCTCCCCCCTCTCTGGCCGCTTCCCTGACTGCCTCCCTGTATCTCCAGTCTCCATAGTCACCCTGCGACCCCCCCATTCTTCCTGAATCCCCCTCTTGAATATGTGTCCCACCCCCGCATCCCCTACGCTGCCTCTGCTGACGCCATGCTTCTAACAGGCTGAGGCCGTCCTGTTTCGTCACGCCCTCACCCTCTCGATTATGGACAGTGTGTCTTCGGTCTGTCTGTCCCGCTGGGTCTGGTTCCGGCAGCTTCTGGGCCGTCGCTGCCCGTGAGGTCTGGTGACAGTCCAGCCTGGTGAGACTTTTATCAGATTCAGAGGCTCACTGTCCATTTAAGAGCCTCTCTTCACAACAAAGGGCTGTTCGCGTTTCCACTGTGTCCGTGTGCTCTGTGTGTCTGTCAGGATCGGGCTGTTTGGTGATGAGCGTGTTTTATGGCGAGCTGTACATGTGTTCAGCGACACAGCTGTCCCTGAACACCACTTTCACATGTTATGGACTGTTCCTAGCTATATAAATGGGTGAATGCGTTATTCTAAATACCGCCTCCTATTGGTCCCTCTGAATGTTCATGGCTGATCCATGTGTCTAATTGCTGCGGACTCTGTCATGATATGGAGGGATCTGTAGTAACAGCGGCTGCCTCTGTGTCCACAGCACTCCTCCTTAGCACCAGAACCAGTGGCTGGCTGCAGCAAGACCTCAGACTCTGCCCCACAGCCCAGCGCAGTGGGAGGGACCCGTGAGGAAGGCCACGCCTCCCTGACAGGAGTCAGCTCCGCCCCTTCTGCACACAGTGTCTCAGAGACCGACAGAGCGGACCGGCCACCTTCCAGTGAGTCCCCCGACACTGTCATTGTGTTCTTCTGTGCTCACCCAGCGTTTTCCAGAATTAGAATACTGTAGGCCATGAGAGTCACCAGGGCTAGTCATGTAATTGGTTGAGTCAGCAAGCCAAGTGATATGATTGGTCGAGCCAGTAAGCCAGGTGAAAGGATTGGTCAAGTCCCTAAGACGAATGACTGGATTTTTTTAAAATATTTAGAGTTTTTATATTTTTTATATTGATTCAATGCTAGTATCACCTGTCCATGTATTGATGCACATCGTTAATAATTTATGATGACCCCCTGCCCCCAATGCGTGATCTATTACAGACCCTTCGATAATACGATTTCATGTTATGAAAAGAGATCACGGTGTTGTGTTTTCAGATAGCCTCGCTTTACTGTACCACTGTCTCCGTAGCGACACTGCTCAGCATCTCTGTCACGTCTGTGGCTTCTCCTCGGGCCTCGCTGCGTTATTAATAGTCCTTAATCACCAGATGGCTTCCCCACCTTTCTCTGGGGCCTTAGTGCTCCGAGTGGAGACACAGAGGAGCGTAATCCTCCCCGCGCTGCGTCGGCACTGGAAAACGGCCATGGGGAGGATGAAGTTCCCTATAGGACGAGTTTCATCTCAGCCTTCAGATGTCGTTTATAAAATAAACATGCTGCGTGAACTGATGTTTACCAAGCAGGCCTTGATCTGGCCCACAGGGTTGGCGCATGCGGCTGTATCACCGTGAATCATGCAGTATGATATGTGGGCATCATCCTCTAGCGTAAGTGAGAGCGAGAGCTGCTGAGAGCTGCCTGGATCTTAGTGGACATCAGACCAACAGACGGTGCCCAGAAAGAGCAGGAACTTTCAGTTCAGTGACAAGGTCGTTCGGCCTCTCACTTAGTTTCCATTTAATACCAGGTTTCTGTTTCCAAGTCCTGTCTGTCAGTGTGTTTCAGAAATGACTTGACTTGTGTAGCTCAGTGGGTTGGCGACAGAAAGAGTGGCAGCTCAAATCCCAATTTTGCCAGACTGATGGCACCATTGGGCCCCTGAGAAAGGCCCTTGACCCCCAGGTGTTCATGGGGTGCTGCACACTGGCTGACCCTGTGCCCCAGAGCTTGCGCTTACTAGGGGGCGAAAAGAAAATTTCCCCAGGGGGGTCAATAAAGTATCACAGTTCTATTCTAAATGATACAACACCTACATTGGTGTTTATCAGCTGAAAAACTTACTCAAAGGTACAAGTCATCAATCACTAGTCAAGGGATCTGAACCAACAACAATCTGCTGACCAATTGAACTGCAGGCTGTCGATGATTCCAGCTCAGGGGTGTATGGTCTACAACTGGCGATTGGGTGAGGACCAAGCGTGAGTGATCCGAGAGTGACATTTGCTGCCGAGAAGATGGCAGCCTTTCTTGGGAGGGTGAAGTGGCGGGCGCCTTTGGCAGTCTCCTGACGGCTGGATCCACTTCAGGCAATCTTCTGCGGCACCGTGCCGTCTGAGCAGAACCGAGCGCTCAGATGGTGAAGCTGTGTGCTGTTATGATCTTCATCCATTCCCACGTCTAATTACTTTTCTGAAGAGAGCAGCTCCGTAGTAATCTTCCTTAGCTGCTGTTTCGAGTGCAGCTCAGATGCTAATTAAAATGCCTGCGGGTCAGTGAGGACCCCACCACCGTCCACACACCACTCCTGTGTCGCCTAAGCCAGCGTGTTATCACTTTGGAGCAGCAAAGTACAGCACCGCTGCACCCCCCAGCCTGGAGAACGCTCCGGAAAGCATCTCCCCAGGCTTCACCTGACCTGCGTTTGCAATCACATGGATGCATCAGTATAATGCATCTTCACGCCCCCCCTCCAACTGCAAGTCAGAGACAATATCTGCTAGGCTGGTGCACTAAATTCACCAGCCTCATTACCTGGACGACGCAGATTACGCTGCGACACGGACTGCTGGACGTTGGCTCAGAGCTAGTTTCAGTCTGTATGACTTTTTTGTCAGGCACCTTTGGATATAGGAGCAGGAAGGCATTTTGAGCTCAGGGAGCTGAAAGTCGGAACGACCAATAAACTTTACTGAAGTTCTTTTGTCTCATGGAGTCAGGGAGCTTTTCCACGTGACTGTCGCCTCTGGTTTGCTCTCTGGGGGCTTTGGGTGGGGACTATATAAAGCACTTTGAGACAGTGTAGGGTGACCAGATAATTCATATCAGGGAGGACACTGAGCTAGGACAGGATTTGTAAATTACTATTTCAATTAAAAGGACCTGGATTTCACTTAAGCACTGAGTTCTTGCTGTGTGCTGATTGGTCAGTCTCCTATAATCATGCATGTGTCACTAACGGTAATGTGAAACAGCTGGATGAGTCTTTCAATCAAGGAAACAATCCAATCAAAGTGCAAGAACTACATAGCACTATTTTCCTTTAACGAAACAGACAAGAGGGGCCCACAGCTCTCCTACTTCCTGCGCTACTGCCTTTGGGCATATCTGAGGTGTCACATGTGTGAACGCACACGGCCGTAATGCCGGAGGGTGACTGCAGGTGGCGGTATCAGGAATACATGCCAATCATGGTGTTTGGCTCCTTTCCTGAAAATGCAAGTTTTTTTGCTTAAAACTCAGCGTGACCTTAGCAGGAGGTGAGTGGGCCGGCTTACTGAATGTGGCAATCTGGGCTACATCATTAGCATAGATTGTAGGACCTTTAGCTCAGGTAATTAAATGTGAGGAGGTCAGGAAAATGGAATGAAATCAGCTCATTTAGTGTGCCTTAGTAAGGGCCCTGCTCACAGTGCATCCGCTTCATTATGTGTCGTCTGTCATTATAAAGGTGGATGCTGTGGTAATGTGACAGCTCTTCTGGCCGTTAAGAGCTGCATTCGTTTATGGATCTTCCAGCAGGGGGAGTGTGGGCCAGATCTGGGGGGGGGGGGGGTTCTGTATGCCCTGCCCAGTTCCAGTGATGCAAACCCCAAGGGTGTGGGTCCAATGAGGGAGGGGAGACATTGTATTTTCCAAGCAGCCTGTGCTATTTATCTGAATGATAAATGTGTGTGTGTGTGTGTATGTGTGCCTGTGTGTGTGTGTGTGTGTGTGCGTACACTCTATTGGTGAGCTTGATGTCTGCCCTGTCAGGCTGCAGACCCAGACCGAGGAAGTAACAGGCTGTCATCGGGGGCTCGCTTCTGATTGGCCCGTCACCCCCCCAGGGCCCAGACTCTGACAGCTTCCTTTCCATTGACAGAGTGAGGCCATGCAAGCAGACCAGCGTGAAGATGTGAGATTTCACATGAAGAGCAGCGCCGTGGTCTGTGACTCTAGCATTAGTCAGTAACCATAGCCCTGACCTTTTCTACTCACCCCCCAGATTTCTCACCACAGCCGGCGTGCGTCTGTGTGTCTGTCGTCAGAGGGCAGAGGGCAGAGGGCAGAGTCTCAGGAGGCGTGGAATCGCGTTGTGGGGGGTGGGTCAGGTCCAGGGCCCCTTTAGCCCCCTTTAGCCACTTAATTCAAGCAGCCTCCTGGCTGTGAGAGATCACTGGGCTTGTTTTGGGTTCCATGTATCGGTCTGCAGTAGCGCATGTCGGCAGGAGAGGGCGCCGCAGTGACAGCCTTACCCCGCACTGGCGTTCCAGCAGCTGGATCCCGCGGTCAGAGAGCACTGTACTGCTGCACTGCTGCACTGCTGCCTTAGAGACAGAAAGCACCCCCCCCCAGGGCAGGAGGTTCAACCGACTGGCATCTCTCAAGAGCTCTGCACGGTGGGGTGGGAGGGAGGAAGCAGTGCAGCTTGGGGCACCAGGTCGGGCCACGGAACAGGAAGGAAGTGCATGTGGCGGAGAGTCAATCCGAGCCCAGGCTCCGTGCGTCAGTCAGCGAGGCAGCCAGCGGGCCAGAGAGGGAGGGATATTCTCACGCCGCGTGGGGGCTCCCGATGGACGCCTTCAGGAGACGCTCCGGTGAGACAGCCCGACCCCGACCCCGCTGCCGCTTCCTGTCACGTGATGCTGTCTGCTTCCGGCGTGTCGCTCCGATGGCCGTGTGCCACGTACTCCGTCAGGTGCCGTCAGGAGAGCAGCATGAGAGTAACCTTGCGGATTCACACGCCTGTTCCTCCTTATCTGTCCCGGAAAGCCCCTTAGCAGCGAGGCTAGTGCAGCTGGGGAGTGCTGTTAGACGCTGGCAGTGTCGCCCAGTGAGCGGCATGTCGCCCCAGAGACCACGGATCTGTGATGCCCGCTATAAGAGACGGGGCTTCCTGAGCTGCACCGGGCCTGTGCCCGCTGCTGGGCCTCCGCAGCCTCGCTAATCAGCCTGATTTCTGGCTGACTGGCTGACTGGCCCTTTTACGCTGGATTTCCTTCATGTTGCTCCTGCTTTTATGAAGATCCATGAGCCTCCAGGGCTGGTGGCAGATACTGTGGGCCAGGAATACCCTGGTGTGATTTTTAAGCTGCAGAATAGAGCCTAACCACACTGTTTCGGGCCTGATAAAAGCCCCCCCCAGCCCCCCACCCGTGGAGACTCCAGGGATGGCACACTCATGGTGCAGGACCCCTTGGTGTGAGGGAGGAGGAGTGATACCGTTTGAGGTGTGCGTGGGGGGGGCACTGGGTCCTGCTGAGCTGCCCCCCTCCCGCACTGTTGTCTTGGCAGAGTTCCACTGCGGTGCCCACATTTTCCACTGTAGCTGACAGGCACTCCTTCCGAACAGGAACGCGAGCGAGAGAAAATATCCGAGCTGAGCTGTTGTTTTTCCGTGGAGAAGTGGGGGGGGGGCATTGTTATGAGGAGTCAGTAAGACGGAGAGCCGTGGCTCCGGGGCAGGGGGAATTAGTGAGGAGACAGTGGCTTGGGCAGGACGCCTGGGCTGTTAGAGCCCCCGCGGGATGGGTGGGGGAGCTTTTATTGGTCTTGGATGCAGGAACAGTAACAAGACGGCAGCCAGAGCTCCTTCCCGCGGAGTTGGGGGAGGCGCAGTTACTCATAAAGCGCCCCA